CCTCCACACACACACACACACACACACACAGGTAACACGGAGCAGGCCGATGCTGATGTTGTCTCACTGAGTAATTACTAGCTCAGCACCTAGTGGGGCTGGCTAAATATTGAATGGCTGAATCAATCCGGTCTGCGCTCCGGTAGCGATCCCTGTCTGTCCTGACAGCGTGTCTCACCAGCCGGGTGAATGTTGGAATTTGCGTTCCCTCGGCAGCACATTGTTAGCTCGATTACAGTGTCTGATAACCAGCCTGTGCTTACTGTTCACGTTAGGAAGCGGGGCTATTAACCTTGATCTCGCTTAGGGATGAACGGTTCCACCAGTTTCAATGCTGATGTGCAGCTCATTCGAGACCATTCGCTCCATTCTATCAGTCCTTGACGTTGTCCAGTTTGTTTCTTTGAAATATTGCTCGGGTGAATTAGTTTTCTTTCTCTATGACTCGCGTTCTCTTCCTCAATCCCTAGCTTCAACCCTTTTGACTAATAAGTATTTATTTTTCTCGCCAACGTTCTTTTTGCTTTCTGCTGCTGGTTCTTGCTCTGTGTACACCATTCTCTACCTGTCCCTCCCCGTTTCCGTTGTATCCCACAACACCCGCACCCCCCAACCCCCGTCTCTCTGTTCGCTCTGATTATCTCGAATTCGCCGTAGACATGACTCTCGCTGTCTCGACTCTCCAGTGCAGCGTCTCGCCGTGTCCTCCGCATCTGTCTCCCTTGCTCTGATAGATTCTTCGCGTTTTATGTGGAGAGTGTGTGTGAATGTGTGAATGAATGTGCGTGAGTGAGTGAACGGGTGCATGCGTGTCTGCATGCGCGAGGGAGCGTCTAAGTACGAACGTGTATGTGAGTATGCGAGTGTGTGAGCGATTGAATGAGTGGGTCGTGTTATGTGAGTGTGAGAGAGCGCGAGTATATGTGAGCGTGTGTGTGAGAAACAGTGTGTCCGTTTGTGCGTGCGTGTTTGTGTGTGTGAGTGTGTTTATCTGTTGTGAGAGTGTGTGTATCTGTGTGAGAGAATGTGTGTTTGATAGTGTGAGAGATAGTGCGTGAGTGAGAGTGCATGCATATATGTGTGTGTATGAGAGCGTGTACGTGTGAGAGAGAGCGAATGTGCGTGTGTGAGAGTGTTTGAAAGAGAGTATGGGTAAGAGAGAGAAACTGTGTCAGTGCGTGAGTGAGAGTAAGCAAGAGTTTATGCATATATCTGTGTGTGTGTATGAGTGCGTGTATGTGTGATAGAGAGAGAGTGCGTCCGTGTGTGTGTTTGAGAGAATGTGTGTGTGAGAGCGACTGTGTGAGTGCGTGAGAGTAAGCAAGAGTGTATGCATATACGTGTAAATGTGTGTATGAGAGCGTGTATGTGTGAGTGAGAGAGACTGTGTGACAGAGTGTGTGTGTGAGAGAGAGTGTGTGAATGCGCAAGTAGGAGTAAGCGAGATTGTATGCATGCACAAAAACAAAGTTGCTGGAAAAGCTCAGCAGGTCTGGCAGCATCTGTGGAGGAGAAAACAGAGTTAACGTTTCGGCTCCGGTGATCCTTCCTCAGAACTGAGTTTTTTACTTATTGCATGCATGTATGTGTGTATGTATATAGAGCGTGGATGTGAGAAAGTGTGAGGGATAGTGTGTCTGAGAGAGCATGAGTGCTAAGTGAGCGAGTATGTGTGTGAGAACGTGAGTGTACGAGAGAGTTTGTGCGTGAGAGCGTGTGAGAGTATTGGAGAGGCACAGCGTGTGTATGCAGCAGAGAATGTGTTTTTTTTCAATCATGCACAGGATGTGGGCATCGCTGGCTAGGCCAGCATTCTTCACCTACCCCTAATTGTCCAGAGGGCAGTTGAGAGTCAACCACAATATCGTAGGTCTGGAGACACATGTAGGTCAGACCAGGTGAGGATGGCAGATTCCCTTCTCTGAAGGATATTAATGAAACAGATGGGTTTTTCCAACAATCGACATTGGTTTTATGGTCGTCAGTAGATTCTTAATTCCAGATTTTAAAAAAATGAATTCATATTCCACTATCTGCCTCGGTAGGATTCAAACCCAGGTTCCCAGAACATTAGCTGAGTTTCTGTGGACTAATATTCTAGCAAGAATACCACTTGACCATTGCCTCCCTAATATGAAAGAGTGTCTATATGCATGTAAGAGAAAGAAAGGATCGTGGAGTGAATGCATGGGGAAGCGTGCGTGAGAGAGTGAGTGTATGAATGTGTTTGAGAGTGTGTGTGAATGTGTGTGTGTGTGTGAATGTGTGAGAGAGTGCATGTGTGTGAAAGCATGTGTGTGAAAGAATGTGTTTGTGTGAATGTGCATGAGACAGAGTGCGTGAACGTGTGTGAGACAGTGTGTGTGTGTGAATGCGTCTGTGAGAGGGTATGAGAATGTGTGTGTGTGCGTGGATATATTTGTATAAATGTGTGCGTATGTGCCCGTGTATGTGAATGCGTGACAGAGGGAGAATATGTGAATGCGAAGGTCCCAAGAACTGCAGATGCTGGAGTCAGTGTCAACACAGTGTGGAGCCGGAGGAGCACAGAAAGTCAGGTGGCATCAGAGGAGCAGGAACGTCGACGTTTCGGGTTCTGAAGAAGGGTCCCGATCAGAAATGTCGACTTTCCTACTCCTCTGACGCTGCCTGACCTGCTGTGCTCCTCCGGCTCCACACTGTGTTGAGTATGTGAATGTGTGTGTTTGTGTGAATGTGTGTGCGTGCGTCTGTGTGAATGTGTGTGTGAATACGTATGAGTGAGAGTATGTGAATGTGAGTTTGTGAATGTGTTTATGTAAATGTATGAGAGTATGAGTGCATGTGTGCATGAGTGTGTGAATGTGTGCATGAATTAATGTGTAAGAGAGACAATGAACGTGTGAATGTGTGTATATAAATTTATGTGTGTGTGAATGTGAGAGACAGTGAGTGTGTGAATGTGTGTGTGTGCGCATGTGGATATGTACGAGAGAATGTTAATGCGTGTGTGAAAGAGAATGTGAGAGTGTGTGAATGTGTGCATGAGAATGAGTGTCTGAGAGAATGTATGTGAATGTGTGTGCGAGAATGTGTTTGAATGTGTATGAGACTGAGCATGTGAACGTATGTGTGTGAGAATGTGTGTGAGACTGAACATGTGGATGTGCACGTGAGACAGCACGTGTGAGGGTGAGACAGTGGTGTGAATGTGTTTGCGAATACATGTGAGAGAGTAAGTGTGTGAATATATCTGAGAGGGTGAGTGAATATGCGTGAGTGTGTCCGAATACATGTGAGAGGGTAAGTGTGTGAATGTATGTGTGCGAGAGAGGGTGAGTGTGAGACAATATATGTGTATATGTGAGACAGTGTGTGTGAATGCATTTGTGTGAATGAGTGTCTGCGAGTGAGTGTGTGAATGTGTGCAAGCATGAGTTTGAATATATGAGTGTGCGAATGTGTGTGAGAGACTGAGCGTGTGTGTATTTGTGTGAGTGAACGTGCCTGTGTGTCAGAATGCGTTTGAATGTTTGAGAAACTAAGCATGTGAATGTGCACACGTGTGTGCGCGTGAACGTGTGTTTGAATGTGTGAGTGTATATGAATGTGTGAGACTGAGCATGTGAATGTGCGCATGAGAGAGTGTGTGAATGTGTATATGAGAGAGGTTGTGTGTGAGGATGAGCGTGTATAAGTGAATGTATATTTATATGTGTGTGTGTGAATGTATGTGAGCGAATGTGAGTGAGAGTGAGAGTGAATATGTGTAAGAGTGTGTGTGTGTTCCTCTCCTCTTTTGCACATGTATGTCATGCTCTCCATCCCCGTGTGTCTTTTGTTCTTGTTTTGCCACCTCTGTCTCCAAATCTCAGTCTCATTCTGTGTCTTCACGTCCTTGTCTCCCACTATAATGTGGGCTCCCAGTTCTGAGGAAGGGTCACCGGACCCGAAACGTTAACTCTGGTTTCTCCTTCACAGATGCTGCCAGACCTGCTGAGCTTTTCCAACAACTTTGTTTTTGTTCCTTGTCTCCCACTATGTCGTTTCTTCTCGACCTCTCTCTTTCGAGGTGAGGGTATTTCTGTGGGATTCTGCTTGGATCTGTCTCTTTCTGCTTCTGCACTCGAGTCTGTACCGCTCCTTCTGACTACTTCTTAGTATGAGAGGCTTGGCTCTCCAATGTGTGGTTACCGCCGTCTCTCTCCCCCTGTCCGGTGTCTGGATCTGTCGGTTTGATTCTTGCTCTCTGTCCTTCCATCTCATGCTTTCCGCGCTTCTTGTCGTTGCAGGTTGCAGAGAGACCGCTTTTATCTTCGCCCTGACCAGCGCGGCTGTAACTCACTCCGTGTCCCGCTCCTGCTCTGAAGGCTCCATCGAGTCGTGTACCTGCGACTACCGGCGGCGGGGACCGGGCGGGCCCGACTGGCACTGGGGCGGCTGCAGCGACAACATTGACTTCGGCCGCGTCTTCGGCCGCGAGTTTGTGGACTCGAGCGAAAGGGGCCGGGATCTGCGCTATCTGACCAACCTGCACAACAACGAGGCGGGCAGACTGGTAATACATCCCATGGTTTCCGTTTGCCCACTGGGGCAGGTGTAACTGTGTTTAAGAAAGAACTTGGCCAACAAAACATTCACAGGAGGTGTTAGGAGGCACTAGTTCCGGGCCAGTTAAAATAACAGGGATTGAGAACTGGGAGGCATCCGAACTCCAGCTGTGAGAGAACTGACACGATTCAAATGCACTAAAGCGGCACTGTCCGTTTTAACGGTAACACGAGTTTGTCCTTTGCTAACCGGCCAGAGTTCCAGCCTGCTCATTGCAGACAGGAAAGACACAGCAGAGGGCTGGTGCGGCTGTGGTCTGGTCACCGGCGAGGAGATGAACGCTCAAGGGCGTTTTTGTTTCACACCGGCCCCACATTACTCGCAGGCGGCTTGATGTTTCCACATCTGGGCTGTTTATTCAGCCAGTGCACAGGGCCAAAGTGCTCCTGACTCCAAAAGCCCTATTCAC